ACACACACTCACACTCTCTCTCTCACACACACACACACAGTAGATCTCGCAAGCTGGCTGAAGCTCTGTGAAAACCACAGATGAAATCACCCAGAATTGTAAATTATGCATCATGGAAAGACTCTGAATGTCCTCCATAACCCCAAACCCTGCTTGAAAAAACGCCTGGACACCTTTAAATCAGAGTTATTATAGTTAAAACTATAACTGAAACTAAACTAAAACTAAAACTAAAACTGAAACTAAAACCAATAAAAAAAACATTTTAAACAATTTAAATCAATGAAACTGAAATAAAATTAAATATAAAAAACTTTGTCGTTGAGCTAGTTGCCAAGGCAACATTTCTTAATTTATTCATTAATTTAGTTGAACTTGATGTACTACAATAAAAAAAAAAAAAAACCCCACAAATTTACTAAAACTTTAATCAAAATTCAAATGTCAACAGAAATGATAAAAAATGTATAAAAACTATAATAGTATCCCAGTGGTACTAAAATAACACTGCTTTAAACTAAATTTGATATGCTTTAAATAGTTTATATAATGAATATTATTAAATTCAACATGAAATTAAACTGTTTTAATTTAATTTGCCTATTTACTTTCCTAATAAATATATCTAGTCTTATTTTACAGTCTTGATATACATTTAACATTCTTAACACATTTAATATAATAAAAAAGCTAACATGAAATCAAAATGTTTTTTAAAAAATCCAAGAAATCCACCAAAATACATATTTAATATTATTTTCATATGTAATTTAGTAATTGAACTCAAAGATGAAATCAAAACTATTCTGGTCTTATTGTGCACAGTTACATTATTGTTATTATATTTGTTTATTATTATATTACATGTAAAAATATTAAACAAATATTTATACACCTATATATATATATATATATATATATATATATACACACATACATATTTATATATGAAACATTCTTTTCATATGTAATAAAATAAATATAATCACTGAAATAAAAAAAAGATCAAATCAATATTATTAATTTCCTTTCATAATGTGACATACAGAATGATATTTGTTATATTACATATGAAACAAATATCAAATGTACATTTAGGTGGATTTTCTGCTCAAATATTTAATACTTCCTTTTCATACTTAACATAATACATCTAATCTTTGAAATCAAAGATGAAATCATAACTATTTACATTTTACTTTCTTAATAAATATTTTTGGTCTTATTCTGGTATTTAAATATACAATATTCTTTTCAAATGTATTATAATATAATAAAATCAAACATGAAATCAAAACTATTTGGACTTATTTTATTAATATTCCTGGCCTTATTGTGCTATGATTCATATGTGCATGTTATTCCAAAGAAACGTTATTTTCCTTTTCTTTCCTTTTGGTTGACATCATCAAGCTCTTTTATTTTCAACTCTTTTTCACATCCAAACATCCTGAAGGAAGAACTCAAGTCCTGCCCTACAGTTCAATGTTCTGCTTCACTTTACGTCACTTTATGAAAGTAAAATGAGTCGTGAATGTCATTTCATGTCAAATCATAATTAAGGCCACATAATGGCCAGTGAAGAAGGTGTTCTGAAGGAGGTTTGCTGAGGAAAATGACCTTCTGAGACATCAGCAATTACAGCTGGGGTCATAAAGCAGTCTGAAGGAAGTCTCAAGACGATGTCGAAGCTGTGTGATGTGGCTGTTTTGTGTGTGTGAGATGGAGGAGGGGGCAAACGCAAACCTAAAGGGTTGACGTCAGAGCTCCTGGGACAGCCAGAGGAAAGCTGATCCCTGTGCATTATGGGACACACAGGCATGAGGAAGAGAGTTTAACCAGGCTAGAAATGAGAAAAACAGGCCGAGGACTGATAATGATACACTATAGAAGACATATGCACACACATACTGACCAAAAGAATTCAAGCGAAACAATGTTAAACCCTGGAAAAAGTGCTCGCTTCCACTCCAAACACACACGGTAAAGCCAAAACCTGAGAGGAAAGTACAGAAAGAGTGAAAGTGACAGGAATTTGCTCGTTTAAGATCATTACGTGAGGGAACGAAACTTGTTCAAGCATTGCCATGACCTTGTTTTCAACTTTTCACAGTAGATGCACTGCTGGATATATTTTATGTCCTCTTTATGCAATTTTAGACAGTTTATTTCATGTAACAAAATGTTTTTATAGTTTGTTAAGATTAATAACCCTGTTCACAATATTACTGTTTTTACTGTATTTTTGATCAAATAAATGCAGCCTTGTTAATCAGAGGAGACTTCTTTCAAAACATGAATATATATTATATTATATTATATTATAAT